TAGAAACTGTTAGGGAATTAATCAAATATCAGAATTTGTTGAAGATAGAAAATAAAACAAAAATCACACACAATGTTTAAATTTTGGTCAAAGGTTTGTGATTTCATTTTTCAAAGGAGCGTAAAAACAAATGTCTCCACCAAGTTTCACTTCACATTCAGAAAAAAACACGACACCTGCTGTAACCAGTGACAGTCGGGTTCATCACTGCATAGTTCATTCATTTAATATTTTATTATTTTATTTATTATTTAATTTTATTTATTTATTATTTAATTTCATAATAAATACATTTTTACGTACCCACTGTAGCTGTCAAAAATAAAGAAAATGCAGACTAAGTAGACAAATGCAAATATTTTGTACACTAACACAATGGAGCAACTACTGAGTGCTGTTTAAAAACAGAAGCATGATTAGGACTCAGCATTTGAATTAACTAGTGTTTTAGATAAAAATAAAACAGATCAACTCACAGATCTGCACGTTCATCTTTTTTGCACAGTACTTGCTCATGGCCTCCAGGTCGTTGATCTGACCCTGCAGGAAAGACACCCGTGCCTCCAGGTCCTCCTCCTGTTAACAACACAAACGCATACATCCAAGAGGACACATCAGACATAACAGAGAGGGAGAATAACACCACCAGAGGAGGGATTAATATTTCTAAAACTGGGAGAGATGATCAGAATGTCTGACAGACAAAGAGTAAGAGATACACAGAGGCATGAAAGCCACAGCAGATGATCCACAGTACTTACAGAGGGAGACTGAGATCAGTGTGAATGCCCAGCAGCGAAAAAGAACAGCGAGCAGGTTTGTACAACTCACTGTCTCTTTCTTGCCCATGCTCTTGCTGTGGGAGCGAGAACGAGTTATATTGAAGAAAGACTCCTTCTTGGTGGCAGAGAGTGGGGGAGATGACATGCTGACATCACTGCCTCTGGAGGGAGGAAGAGGTGGGGAGGCTGTGGACTGACCCTGCCCACCAGAAAGGCTTTCTATACTAGGAGAGGAACTGACTGCCCTGGAGCTTTGGCCTGACAGAAGGACAGGAGGCAGAAGACAGGATGTTAATGCAATGTGAAAGTGCAGGATTTACAATTGAAAATACACATGCATGACCTTAAAACCATGTCAACATCTACAACAGAATATTACATGAGCATGGATGCTCAGCGTGTCTGATTACATGATCACAACTAAGTCTTGTCACCTTTGATGGCTGATGTTTAGGAGGGCTACAAAAAGAGCCAGAATGCTATAACTTTTTATATATCTTTAAACAAAGGTTTAAATTCATTTAATAACTATGTAAATTAAAGACTAGAGGGGTGGGACAAGAAGGTGAAGCCTGCAGCGTGCCACTGGAATAATTATAGACTTGTTTTTAATTATAATCAAGAAATAATTAAATATGAAAAAACAAAATAAAAAAAAATTATTAAATTTGCATTTAAATTAGATTAATCAACTCAAAATAAAAAAAACTATTAAATTTACCAATTAATAATTTGGTGTCCTGTCATTAAATGATTAATTCATAAATTCATTTTAAAATGGAAGAGCCAAGTATTTTTTTTTAACTCTGTCCATATACTAATAAATTTGCTGGTCACATTTCCATATTCTTGTTTCTTGCATTAACTTCTAGTATCTCCATTTAACTAATGTAAAGATGTATACACAGCACACAACCTAATAATTAAATGAAGTCCAACCCATGAAGCAGCAGCAGGAGTTCTGATTGGCCAGCTGTTATGCGTTGGTAGGTGTCATGTGCAGAGTGAGACCAATCAGAGCTCCTGCTGCTGCTCAGTGAACGATGCTCATTACAGCATAATTTAAATGCAAATTTGGGCAATCAATTTATAATTGCGTTTTACATTTATCACCGTGATTAAAATTAAAAACCGCAAGTCTAATTATTCTAGGCTCCATAGAGGAAACACGAAGAAAACTTTTTTCTTTGAATTTCTGTGTGAATGCAAAGAAAAACAGACAAACACATGACCAACAACATTTACAGCCACTGTGATAACAAAACAACGCAACGCTGATCACAGATCTATCACAAACCATTCATGATGTTCATGGTGTTGGTTCAGTTTTCACAATGTCACAAAGCTGTGATCTCCACCTGCTGGACAAAGACCACTACTACCTGCTGTGGACTTTTCACGTGCATTTACTGTAATATGTACCTTCCTAAAAGCAAATTAAGCACCAGGAACAGATGACCACAGTAGATGACAAACAGAACGGTTGGGGGTGTGGGGGTGGGGCACACAAGCGGTTACCATAGCAGCTATTACCTTGGGTGTCAGTGTGAATCTGAGCTGGGAGAGAGACCTGAGCCACTCCACCTGAAACTACATCTAACAGATAGGAGAGTCAAAGCTGATGCTGCCACAACCACACAAACCAACGTTCACATAGCCTGTACTGGGCTGACTGACATGTGCATGCAGCTAATTCAACAAAAATCAGTAAATTAGTAGCTAAGTAGAAAGCTGTCCAAAAACTAATCTGGAGTCATTTGCTTTTGTGTGTGCGTGTGTGCTGCTGCTCACCTTTGCTGAGATGCACAGGCATGCTCTCAGACTTGAGCAGGCGGTGATGCTGACCCTGGGCGTGGCTCAGTGGCTGGACGGGAGCATGTCCCGATGGGGGCTCGGCCAGTGGATGAGGCAGTATGGGTGTGTTGGCCAAGGCAGGGAAAGTGGATGAGGAGGGGGAAGACGGGGAGTGTACCTCGCTGTTGATTGGTAAGAAGCTGCCAGACCCACCTGACATGGCCGGCGCAATGAGCTTCCTGCCAAAATTCAGCAGGCTGCTGGAGACCTTGTTGATGTTGAGGGGGACTGCTTTTGCAGTGGAACTAGAACTAGAAAAATAAATCTGAGTTGAGATGGATCAGAAAAATTAAGGCCTAAAGACAAAACAGCAGTGGGTTGGCATGTTTTACATCCTTAAAGTGGGTACTTGTCTACTGATTATTTTTTTTCTCCAAATCCACTCTGTGTCGATTAATTTTCTCCCTTCCAGGCAGCCAGCCATTTTATCTTCTGTACAGACTGAAGCTCAGCTTGTACAAACTTGAAACTTAAGTGAAACAGTTCCTATCATAGTGAACAATTCGACCTCACATCTATTTCTTGGGTAAAGTTGTGTAGTAACATTACAAGCAGGGCCCATTAACAGTGCATTATCAGACTCAACAGACACCACGGAAAGGAGAACATAAACATGATTATGTTCACCGATTTAAAAAGCTTGTGTTTTGTGCTATGGTTTTTAACGGTCCCTAGTTTCAAGTGTATTATGCTGCAAAAACGTAATCTTCAAAGCAACACATTTAAGTGAAGTCCATTTAAAAAGAACGGAGTTAATTTTGAGATATTTTGACAAAAATATCTTTAGAATATGCACAGATAGTGGATAAGTTTACTATGATACAGAAGTGGGTTTAGAATTGTCTATCAACATTTTCTATACTTGTTTTAATGTGAAAACAGATGAGTACTGACATTTGTAACAGCCCCAACTTCTTTTTTACAGCCACTTTAAAAAGGTCTACAAGGAGACCAGCATTCAATTCTCACAGTGAAACTCCACCCAAATTATTTTAACATGGAGAAAAAAACTCACTGAAACAGAAGGTGGCACTAACGTTTGTTTCGTACACTGTTTGCATGTGTGTGCGAATGTTACCGTGTCTTCATCAGGTCAGCTCCCCTTGTATTGTAGTAATCCAGGTTCTGCTGGAACTGGTAGTTGACAGGTCGTGGATTGTTCTACAATAAGAGAAAGAGAATACATTGTTTTGTGTGTGATAAACAGCTAACAACAGAGAGTGACCAAGTCAAGCTAAAATCTGTGTCTGTGCATGGCTACATAACCAAGTGAACATGTGTGCCTTGATGTCTTTGAGTCAGTACACACCCCTCTCCTCCAGGGATAACTATGATGTGGATGTGGTGTGCCATGGTTGTTTACCTGGGGGGGAAACGCTGCCAGGTTGGATCAGAGCCTTCTGGGAATTTCATCCCAGGAGAGTAGTGGACAGGAGTGCAGTGACTCACTGTGTTTGAGTAAGGGTCAATGAATTTATAAGATGAACGGAAGATGGTTTGTACTGGGACAGTGAGGTGATAGCTAAGGTCAAAGAACTGGTGCTGCCAATGTACCTTACACACACACACACACACACACACACACACACACACACACAGGACTGGCTTATATGTAAAGACAAAGGGAAGAATGTGAGCCCTCTGTGTATGAGAAGTAAAAGACTGTCTCTGATTCTCATTTAGGCTGGCACATCCTGAATACACATTCAACTAAGTGAAGTTCTTGAGCAGCAGCACCTCCAGTCATCTTGTTTTCACTCTCACCGTCTTGCAGTTACAAGGATTGAAGATTACAGATAATAATGACATCACCTCAACAAGAAACAGCCAACACAATTAGGCAACAGCATTTTTAGGAACTAAAATGTTTCATGTTCAGACTCAGGGGAGGGCTTTTCCTCTTTAATGCCGTTATCCACAAGGTGATATCCATATTTGTGGAAAGATGGTGTATAACGGTCCAAGATGGTGAACTAAAAAGCTTAACTGCACACAAAAGGTAAATTAAACTAAATGCAAATGTATGCATCTAAAACAAGTCTGTAGTAGATATAAGGATTTTGGAAGTGAAGCAACAAAACTGTATAGACAGTTCACTGAAAGGGGTGATCCTTCTGCTACTAGACTCAGCTCCACAGTGTGCTCGTTCTAACTACATCTACAGTATTATGCCACTTTAACTTGCATTACACACTGTATGTAGGGGTCTTATCATTACATGTTAAGTGTACGTATCTGTGAAACTTACCGATTTACTACAATGACTGGTTCATTGATTGCAGCTGTGTTTACTGTAAGTGCCTTGAAATCACTAACAGAGTGTGGAACTGAAACAGTTGGTGACTATCAACTTCATTTAAATAAAGACGTAAGACGTAGATCCCTGCTACTTGAGTGTTGTCCAAGGATTTCAAACTAGTGGTTTGTGTGCGGGTGAGTGTTTCACTTCTGCAAATCTCATTCTGCTCCTACAGCGTCTCCTCAGCTGTAATTACTGAATAAAAGAAGCTTTAGGAAGGGAGTCTGAAGTTTAGTACTTGCGACCAGTCAGCCATAATGAAAATGCTTATAGTAGCACACCAGAACTTTCACGGGAAATTGAAGTGTAACAAACACAAACAATACTCCTGGAAATAAAACCAACAGGTGTATTACTTCTTAAATTAACTTGTGCTAGTGCGCTTACTTTGGGATCTCTCAGGAACAGAGCCTTCTGCAGCAGAGAGTTGATGTCTCCTATTGGAGGGTAGTGCATTAGCAGGCCCAGGCAGGTCTGGAAGTTACTTGCAATGACTGAAAGAGATACATGGCAAAAAAAATACAGTAGTCATGAAGTTGAGTGAGTAAGGCTTCACAGTCTTACCTCAAAACCCCTTCAAATACAGGAAATCTTACATTTACATTGTGTCTGATCTTGACAAATTTCAGCATTAACCAGCATCTCTTGGTTAGTTTAAAAGATTAACAACTCTGAGTCTTGTGTGTGCTGTTAAAACACACTAAATGGACCCAATATTTTCAGGATTAAACCTGCAACCTGAGGTGTATGGGACAGTCTTTGCACTCAAACACTAAGGTCCTTATTTAACTCGTGTTACAGAGTATGCACTCTGATTTCCTAAAAACATGACTGCATATTTGCAGAGCTATTTTAAAATGACAAAAACTTAGCTACATCACTCTACATCCAACACACAATGAGGCGTGTCTAATGACTTTCTAAGTGCCTCTTCCCATCAATCCTTGCATTTCTCCTACCTGTAGCATGGATTAGGCCACATATTTCTGTCCAAACCCAACCTGTGCCTGACAAAACAGTTGAGTTTGTACACTGTTTTTGCTCCTTATCATTAAAACGAAGCAAACATTTGAGGGCACTAGCCATCTAGCCTGAAGTTCGACCTACATGTCCGAACCACCCCAAACATAATTTCTAAATTTTTGTCCGAACCCAGTGCACTCGGGTACCGACAGGTCCCATCAGACTCGGTTAGGGTATCCATACTATGCTTCTACCTGTGTCCTTCAGAAAAGCACTTATTTGATGTACAGCTTCTTCTCTGCTAGAGCCACAAAGCAGCAAATCAACAATTTATTTTGCTTGCTTGGTTTTTTTTCCCTCCATGTTCTGTTTGCACTTTAGAACTCTGTATTTAAGCTTTCCTCTCAAAAGTATGTTTGGACATAAAGACAAACTTGCAGATTGGCTGAAACCTCCTCTGAATTGCTGCACTCGTGTATTTGGTTCCTTGGCACCCGTTCTCTAGCAGCTGGGATTCAGTGGTTTACAAAAAGACACCTGAGCAGGGATGATGTTTACCGACTACAGGGTTTCAGCATATCCTGCCTGTATGCATGGCAGCAAAGCCCAACTGTATTCTATTTAAAGCAATGCGACTCCATCTGATTAAATGAGGCAGAGTAAATCACATTCTTCCAGTTAAGTGTTTCTTATGAAATTACATGCTACAAAAGGCAACATATGCTGTTGTAGAAATGGAGCATACGAGCATCTCGGATGTAGAGCAGCATGGCCACAAAGATGTAGTCCACCAAGTCCAGAGTGACGCTGTCAGCAAACAGGGCGTCCCACACCACCAGCAAGTCCTGGAGCAGAAACTCACGACCAAACAGCAGACGTACCCACCGGCTGAAGGACACAAATATAGATAAGGTAACTGTCTTTGTGTACAGCTGAGGGTGAAGGAAATGATCATACATGCAGTGGTGCAAACACTTACATGCCATAGATTTGTGGGGCAATCTCCAGCCGGTTGAGGTGCATGTGCAGCTCCACGTCATGTTTCTTCACCAGCAGGTCCTGGATGCGGTTGACTTTTGTTACTATGGCAACAGATGGCCCTGAGTCCTGGGGCCGAGCAAATGGGATGCTGGTCAGTATCTCTTCCTTACCCTGGAGGAGTCAAACCATTCTATAATGAGCATATCATTATATAAACTTCAATTAGCAGCATCTGTGGCCATTTGATCATAAATTCACCACATATGCTAAAAGGAACAACAGTGGCAAATATATAGTCTCTTTAAAGAGAACATGCAAATGTCTCAGTTTGAACCAAAGTTTACATTACCCCAAAATGTGCAGGTTTTTACTGCAGATATTTCAATATAACTATATAAAGTTATTTTTTTATTCAACCAGATACCATTTATAGTCAGCTTTGTTTTCTGCAGTAGTCTTTCAATGCATTTAATTTCAGCAATTACATCTCCTTTGTCAGTGGAGTTCAAAACATATGCACAAGGGATTCACAGGAAACAATGCATGAATGCAATCCAGCATTTAGTCTCGCTGTTTATTGCTCCTGCTAATGCAAACCCAACATTTCTTAGTTCAAATTAAGAGCATCCAATTGGTGAAACAGAGGGTGGCTTTTATTGTGAAGCAGTCACAAGAATCTGACAATAGATCCTACAACAATTGGAGGCAGACTGGTATAGAAAACTGCAGGGACTAACAGAACAAGATGGAGCAGTCACCATGAGCTGTAGCATTAAACCACCATTGCTGCTACCATGATATCCACAAGTGTCGTTAGATCTTAAGGATTACAACTTCAAGTTTTAAAAGCCTTACATCATCGTATCAAGTATAATGTCATGTCATCATGTTAGGGCCATCAGCTGATATGGTGCTGCAGGGCACGATCAATTATTGCAATTGCAATGTCAAAAGCAGCTCTTTAGATCCAACTGACCTTCCTCACTTCCCTCTCAAAGCTGGAGAACCATGGCTCAGCCGTCTCCATCAACTGTGAGAACATGGCACTACAGAAGAATGAGATTGAAAGGCATAAGGAGAAAACAAAGGTCAAACTGTGAGATAGAAAAAAAGACATGAACAATACCAATAATTTGAAAACTAATGGCAATTTTCAATGTGGACATGCACATTGTTCTTATAAATTATTATTAGGAGTGTACTCACTAGGCATCATGTTCAAGGTACGCTGGGTTCAACAGACACTTCATCTCTGCACTGTGGAAAAAAACCCAACCCTAAACTGATTATTCCTTTAATAAATTCAGAGCTATATTGGCTTCAAACTACAACACAAGTTACTGAAGCACAGCCCAGTCTGGATATATAACTACAGTGTAAAAGTTTCAGTTTCACAGCTATGAGTACTAGACCTGGGGCTGGTTGTCTCACTGGCATGCTGGAAGGCTTGATGGTCACAGTGCAGCACAAACACAATTGGAGCCAGCAACTCGTGCATCCCCTACAGCCAGAGACAGAGACAGAGGGAGGGGTGAGATGGAAGAGGGCAGGGGGAGAGAGAAAATATGGTTCATTTGTGGTCAGTCTTTCTTTAATAGTGATGCACGAGGCTTCTAATGCATGATGACAGGTTTAATTTAGATATTGTTAGCCACTGCCCGGCCATGTGTCGCTTCCAGTTTGCAAAAAAGAAGCCATACTTGCTGTCTATTTGTTTGCTGGCACCTGTTACAGACACTCATAATGATTAGGTTACAGAGGAATTTTTTTCTTTTGTCTGAGCTCACTGAGTGCCCTGCGCACAGACACACACAATATATTGAGATTATCAACACTATGGCTCTGCAAGAATACCCAAATCAAGGACAGTCAAGACCCCATTTTCAAGGACATTTAATAGAACAAAGATGTACTTTACCTTTAGGTTCTGTAAATAAGTTATTGGGACAATGTGTCAATCATACCTGTTTATACAGTAACTGTTCATTTTCTCTGGCATAACAGAAGAGAAGGTTGGTCAACTTGGTCCTCACATCGTCATCCTGGAAGTATTGGATTTCAGGAAACCTTATGCAAATGGGGGGAAAAAAAGAGAGGAGGAGTTTACATCAGTGATGCACAAGGTTTCTAATTTCAATAATAAACAGAACAAATAGAATGATAGTGATACTCACGTTCGAAACACATCCTGTTTGATCATCCCCTTCAGCTCTTTATCCTGGAAGAACTTGTTCCAGAGGCTCTGGACAGGAGAGGAAACAATAAGACAGATTCAGAAACATGAGGCATTTGGCTGCTGAAGGAGTGACAATAATTACAAACTGTGAGAATTTAGTGAATAAATGAAAGAATGAATCTAAAGAAAATGCTTAAGTAACAGTAATAGAATGAATCTAAAGAAAATGCTTAAGTTTTCTTAAAACAGTAACTGACCCAACTTCATACAGTTCTGTTCAAAATGAAGAAATAAATGCTACTTTTCATATCACCAAGTAATCCAGAACAGATTTTTCTGGTTTGTTCCTAGATGTGATTCATCCACAGTCAGAATTGACAGAGAAGTGAGTTTTTTTTGTTTGTTTTTCTACAACTCACTTCTCTGTACATGCACAAATTGCCTGTGATCAATCGGTGTCTGACTGAGACTGTTGCTCAAATGCTGCTGTTATTCTTGAAGGCAATGCAGCTCACATGTCAGTTTTATCTGCATGTATGACAGTTTAGGACCTCACATGGTGTTCACAGCAGTTGTTTACATATCACTTACAAACATAAATGTGAACCGTCAACTCAAAAACACTGCATCTGACTAAAGCATTTTGTTTATAACACAGTATGTAAACCATCCCAGTAATACTACATTTTATGGGTCTCCAATTCCATAACAATTTCCTACAACAGAACCTGTACATTTTATGGGTCTCCAATTCCATAATTTCCTACAACAGAACCTTTAAAACTAGTTCAAAATTCAAGATTCAAGATTTTTATTCGCCATTTATGCATAAACACACAGTTTAGGCATTTAGGAATTCTTGTGCAGGGCTCTCCTGGAATCAAGTAAAGAGTTTAATGCCAGAAGAACGAATACTTAGTCTAAATACAAGATCACCCAATGTGGTACTAATTATACATAAAACAGAGACAAATGTTTTGGTGTGGACTTTAAAGAAATTGTTAGACATTGTTGGAAACTTCATTCTTGATATATATTGAATTTTATGCTTGTCTGCAGACAGGTTTCTCATGTTCACTTGACCTGCACAGTAATAACTGACTGGACTAAGTTACACAAGCAATTAGAGTAAGTAACAGAAAGTGTACGCATCTATATTTTGACAATTATAACTATATTGGATATTCCAGGAAATATCCTACACAACTGTTACCAACTCCTTCTGGTCAATATGAGCACGTGTTAGCTGTGTGTTATTATTAGTGTGGGTTTCTGAGTGCATGTCAACACCTAATGAGAAACTGTAAGTGGAAGACAAATTAATTGTGAGATGAAAAATAAATGTTAGAAAAAAATGAAAGATTTGTTTTGGCACATTTTAAAACCTTTTATTAATCACCTACTGAAATATTAATTAAATGGCTTTACAATTACTTAAAAAAAAATCTGTTAATGAATTCACAATAATGAGTCACAGAAACAGTTTATAATTATTTTAATGATGTATTAGGGTCACATTTTATATGCCAACATGAAACAACTGACGGGTAGACGGAGAATAAACACCACACACACATACACTCACCCCCTCATCCTGGGACAGTGGGTTGTTGACCATCAGGTCCTGCTGTCCTGTAGCCTTGCGAGGGTTGGTGATATGCTGAGACCAAAAAAGACAAAAACAAAATGCAAGGCTGTCAGTTACAGCCACGGAGCAATCAGTGACCAGTTAATTCCTGAATGGCTGCACTGTTAGAAACACATGACCATACTATGAGCTGAGCTTTCATAACCACAACAGCGTATAAAGGTTGTATTTCACTGTAAATATCTGTGATAGTTTAAACAGTGAGCAGTGACTTGTTTAATTAAAATAATTACATATAAATGCTATAACTGAAAACAATTAATACTTCATTTTGACCACCATATTTAGAGAATAATTGAGGAACCTATTTGAGCCACAATGACAAATAACACAAATCTACTGCAACTTTTGGCCAGTTTCTCATCAGGGTGAGGGAAATGGCCACAGAGGGGCGCTCTCACAATCTCTTTGATCTTCTCATACTGGGCCCGGAGCTCCTCGCTCTTCTTGATCCACTGTCCCTTGTCTTCTGGAAGGACCTCCAGGTACAGCTGTAACCAGAGTACACACGTTACCTCATATGCTACCTCAACAACAGTTTCCTTCCCTCAGAGGACACAAACATGCACAAAACTGACACTTTCAAAACTAAACTCTCAGGGAAAAAGAAAAAAAAAAGAAAAAGGTCTGCACGCTGCCAGAACTGCTGTCTGTTATGATGCAGGGAAACTGCCAAAGCCCCTTAAATCACACCGAATAGGACTGCTTGATCCATTTGGCGGTTACCTTCCAGCATACGCTCCGAAAGCGGCTGCTCCTCAGTCGACCGCTGATGCCTGCCTGCCGGATCCTGGCCAGGTAATTACTGTTGAGGAACAAGTCGTCCCATTCTTTCCTGTGGAGGGGAGGGGAGGCAGAGGACGAGGAGATTTATGAGCTTCTCAACCCAAACAGGGCTCGGTATTCCCTCTAATGAATCATCCTGCAGTAAACCAGGAGGCTGGAGCAGTGAGACGGGCCGAGAGGCCCTGTATGCTCGCACTAGAAAATACAGGAAACACTCACCTGTATGAGACAAAGGTTGACTGAGGCTGTGAGTAACTGTTGCTGTCAATAGATCCTCCTGTTAAAGGAGACACAACCACAAGAGGGAGATGTAATAAACCAGTGCTAAGGAATGAAAGAAGAAGCTTCTGAACATAGAGCCCTAAACAAACCTTTGACAACCACCATAACAAGAACTGGACTTTCCACTGCTTCCTAATGACCCATCAGGTCTTTCTTGGTCTTCTTTCTGAAGTCAATCAGGAGACAGGAAAGGGCCAAATGCAGACAAAGCGATGGCACAAAGTACTCCTCTTTCTCTTTATTGCTGTTTAATATGTTTAATTTGGCCTGCAGGTGAACATGTTTCCAAGTCGGAAAGCTGTCTATCAGCATTAGTTACAGGAGAGGAGGATTCCACAGGGACACTCAGCATAAATATTCATCAGTTCCACAACATGACTGCCCCAAACATTTCCCCTCCCTCACACGTAAACATAAAAACACCCTCAGCCCCGGGGTGTCGCCAGCCACGCCTGTGACTCACGCTTCACATTCACTTGATATCTAGCAGTTCATCTTATCATGACTGCCTCTTATACCAGCTCTTAAATCAACACAGAAACAGAACAATGACCCAAAAAGAAGAGCCCTGATACAAATAAAACACTATTATGTTATGGTATCCGTCTAGTTTCTGCAAGATCCAAATAAAGGACTTATTTTGTACCTTGAGAACTGTCAATAAGAGCTGACGTACTGCTGCGGTTCTTGTTGAAATTATGCAGTGGGTCAAAACCTGTCTCCTGCTGCTCGTCTGTCTGGAGCGGGTGGCGAGTCTCGACATTGGGGTGCTGCATGACCACAACCCAGCTGAACCTGGACAGTGAGATGGTAGGCCAGACAGGGAAGAGAAAGAAGCACAAATAAACTAGAATTAGATCACAGGTTATAAAAGCAAGGAAGACACAGATAATGAAGATGCTATCAGATCAATAAACTTCAGGTATTTCCCATTATGCTACGCATGACTTTTGAGCTTCCTAAAATCTAGTTCCAAATGCTCCAACGATAAAGCACAACTGATTTCCTCTAAACTAACTCACATCTACTGCTATAAACACTGACAGTCGATCACACACTTCACTGACTGGGATCTCCGCAGTTTAAGTCTTGAGATGAGTGTTGTTTTCTAGCTGACCCCAACTTCTGACCTCTCCAAAAGAGGTCTCATTAAAGACGAGCTGTTGAAATGAACAGTACTGATGAGTAGTACTTAAAGTCACAGCCTTGTGACACCCCTCAGCCAAGACTCAGAAGAGCCTTTCTATGTTTTACAGCACACTCAAATCTGTTAATTTCCCTCTGGATCAATAAATAAACTATCTATTCTAATAATTAAAGCAGTAAAATAACTGCTTGCTTGTTCTATATTCTCAAATATGAAGATTTGCTGCTTTTCTCTGCTTTGAGTTATTATAAATTCAGTGTCTTTAACCACTATTTGAACATAGCTGACGTCACTTTGGGCTGTGAGAAACCGTGATTTACTTTACTATTTCAGATCAAAATATTAAACTATAAATTAAAGATTAAAATAAATAAACAAACACATACATAAAGAAGCAATGCAAATAACTGTTTGGTGTAGCCCTAATAGTTACATCAGATAAGCATAATGAACATTACTAAAGTCAAATGTGACATTATATTAAGAATTTATATCAAATTATCCAGTTGAGCAGCAGACAAAGCAGGAATAATCTAAAATCTAATGTTGTAAAAGCTTAAAGGTGTCCACTATTATGCTAAATTATGTGCTAACCACAAAATATATCTAAAATACACACACTGAAACAGTCCAAGAAACAATTAACTAAAATCCTGACCCCTTCCCTGCCACCACGCTGAGAGAAGTTTAACTTTCTCTGTGAGACATTACAATCTATATGAACCAATCCAACCTCACAATTATCCCATGTTTATGAATATGGTTAGCTTAATACACAGGCCTACAGAATAGCTTGCTTCCACAGAGCAGTACATTTTCTTTTGCTTTACTAACTGTGGAAATAACACGACCAAGGCTCAGCTTAAACTAATTAACCACACGAATGGAACTTGACTTAATAAATTAGCTACACGTGCCATCAAAATAAAAAATGTTTTATATGCATAATGCATGTGCCTGTTTTCTTAGGAAACATCTGTTCTCCTGAAAGACTAATGCTCTCCTTAAGCCAATGGGGGTTTTTTTTCTCCACTCCCTCATAAAAAGGACATTATCCCATTAAATTATCACAACTAATCTACAACTATTGGGATAAAGAGAGAAGCATTATGAAAAGGTATCTCCAATAATAGCCAGGTTTTTTTTATTTCACCTTAAAAGTCTGGCATTAAAGTGTTAGTCTCCTGAGCAGCCACAAATCTAATACCATGCACGGAATACCAATTCACATTATCACCACCTGCACATTGTTCAAAAAATACTTGAGGAACAGTTGCCCTACAGACCTGTAAACACATCCAGCGCTTTGTCCCTTCTTTCCAAAAATAAAGTCATTTGAAACATGTGCTTTCAGGTGGCATGTCTAGTGTGTGGGAGACACTGTGAATCAGAGCGAGAGGATGCAGGTAGGCGATGCGAATGATCCTGCCTGGAGTGAGTCTTCTCTTAGCTTTCTGCTGTCTTCATTACTTCTACCCACAGCTGAAAATGAAATGGCATCCTAACTTTACGACATAATAATCAAGGCAAATTAGTTTCTGCATAATTTACTGCACAGCACCTGGAGACACCTCAATAATTCAAAACATGAATCTTTCAGGAAATAATCAGCTCAATACATAATGAAATGCATAAATAAATCAATAGACAAGTAACACTGCATCCATCTGTTCTGAGGTAGAAGATCTGTTTCTTGGACTTGCAACCAGCTCATGAAACTTTAGCCACTACACACTTTACATTAACACCACTCAACCGTAGTCTCTCCAAAAGCTATTCCCTCAAGCATGAAAGTAAAAATAGCACAATGAATACACACCTTCTGTCAATAATCCTCAATCATGTGAGCTACTAAACACTTCACCATTCACTTCCTTTTTATTCAGATAGAGATCAGGCCAAAAGTTCTGGTACCTTTCACCTCACTGAAACAACACTGTTCTTGCTAAAAAGTGATGAAATGAAAAGGTTGTTTTTTTTTGTTCATACCTGCTATGAAAAGATTTGAATTCTCGCTTATTTTACAAAGATCTTCTAAAATGGTCTGAACAGAGTAACTGTACTCCTTAAAAGTGAAGATAAATAAGTGGACTATATAGGGATACTTGGGCAGCACAGTAGAGCGGTGGTTAGCGCCGTCACCTCACAGCAAGAAGGTTACGGGTTCAACCAGAGGCCTTTTCGCGTGGAGTTTGCATGTTCTTCTTCTCCCACAGTGCAAAAACATGCAGCTTAGGATGATTGGGGACTCCAAATTGCCCATAGGAGTGTGAGTGGCTGTTTATCTACATGTCAGCCATGTGTTCAGTCACACCATACTCCACTTTCTGAAAGCAAGTGGGCTCCACGAAAGACTTTTGAAAGAGAAACATGAAAACTAACCAGAGTTTATTAAAATGCACTCAAACAAGCAACAGTTCATCTGGGAGAATTGTCCTGTGGACCAGTAAAACACCATGAGATCTTCTGGTCACATCAGCTCTATGTTCACAGAGGAAAGAATGAAGATTGCAAAGAAATGAACACCGTCCTCACTGTGAAACAGGAGGAGGCTCAGTTATGTTGTGGGCTTGCTTTGCTGCATCTGACACAGGGTGCGCCTTGAATCAGTGCAGGGAAGATTATCAGGACATTCTGGAGAGAAACGTACAACCCAGTGTCAGACAGCTGAGTCACAGTCGCAGTTCATGGCTCCTCCACAGGGTAATGACCCAAAACATCCATCGAAAAGCAGCAAGTACAGACGGGACGGTTCTGAAGTGGTCTGGTATGACTCCTCATCTTAATCCAGCTGAATATCTATGGAAAGAGCTAAAAGTTACAGATGGGAGAAGGCACCCATCGAACCTGAGAAATGGAGCAGTTTGCTCAAGAACTGGGCCAAACTACCAGTTGACAAGTGTACCTGTCTCATTAAGGCACTTGATTGCAGTGATTGCCCCACAAGGGGGTGCTACACTGCTAAAGATCACTGTTAAAAATGTTCATGTTGAGCTAACATAAGAATACAAAGAAAAGCTTCAGCCTCTTCCAAGCTCACTGACCTCAAGATAAAGGCTAAACTATTATGTAACTAAACCCAGATTAGACAGCTGTATTAAACATTTTGCTGAAGTGCCAAAGAACTCCAATTTTTTTTGTAGTCCCTCTGAAATTAACTGAAAAAACGCTTTCCATCATTTCTCATACTATTTCCAGAGTCTAGGAACGTAGTCATCAGCTGAAGGAGTCAGTCAACCACTGCCAGAGCAGTCTCACGTAAAACAGACTCAGAAAAAGTATGCAGGCTCTTTAATGGATGAATATTCACAAATGATTCAGCGATGAGAGGAGCAGCTACAGTCGGAGTGGTAGATTGCAGTTTAGTCAAAGTGAAACACCCCCAACTAAACAAACTCACATGCCTTACTTCTGCACACAGTGAGAGTGAGACCAGGAGACTTTACAATCACGTGCTCTGCAAGAGGCTGAGGGCAACCTTGACCCTGGAAAATATTGGAAACTTGCTGAGTCTTGACTGATTCAAATGCCAAATACCAGAGGAGTGATGCAATCTGACAGAAATACAGTATGCCTGTCTACAAGAACAGTGGTTGCTCTAACCACTGAGTTATGCAACTGGTGCCAATAGGTGGGAAACAGCTTAGTTTTAACAGGTCACATGCAAAAAAAGGTTAGAAAGCTCCACACTAAAAGACTTGCAGTACACAAAGAATAAGAAAGAAGCAAGCAAGAACACTCTGGTTAGCAGGGTCAGGCTGTGAAGTTCAAGTATCACAAATTTTCCCACCACTGGCTGCCAACCTACTTCCTCTCACTTCCTGCTCCTTTTCTAAACTGAGAGGCTCCTGGCTGGTTTGTGGCAGCCTACAGACACACTGCGCGGTGGTTAGCGCTGTTGCCTCACAGCAAGCGGGTTCTGGGTTCGAGCCCCGGCCAACCTGGGGCCGTTCTGTGCGGAGTTAGCATGTTCTCCCCGTGCTTGTGTGGGTTCTCTCCGGGTACTCTGGCTGTCCAAAGATATGCAGCTTAGGTTGATTGGTGTCTCTAAATTGCTCAAAGAAGTGCGTGTGTGTGTGTGTGGTTGTTCGTCTATGTGTTAGCCCTGCGATGGGCTGGCGACCTGTCCCGGGTGTACCCCGCCTTTCGCCCGCAGCTGGCTGGGACTGGCTCCAGCCCCCCGTGACCCCGTTTGGGACTGAGTGGTTTAGAAAATGGATGGTTCTTGGTGTAGAGAGATGTGTGAAACTGCATTAAACCAGTTTAACTAGTTGGTGATAGAAGTATGATTATAGCAACCAATTTGTACTCAGTGGCAAATGTACACGGAGGTGGTACTATTTTGATAACTTCACATTAGCAGCAATCAGAAGCAGAGATCTGGGGTGTCACATACCACAAACTGGAGTCACATTTTTCCTGAGCACTGCTTTAAATAGCCCCACACTTTGCACTGTCCCTCTGACACAGGTGCTAATCTCATCAGACACATTTGGAAAATAGTTCAGGGATAAAATGTCATATCAGGAACATATAATACATAAATGCACGGATTTCTATTTCTGTGTTCTAATTTACACAAGACAAGAAGAAAATATTTTACAGTACAACAACAATAAGAGGTCAGATTATGAAGAAAAAAAAGAGTAATACGACAGAAAACCTGACACGAAGTAGTCCCTGTGCACTGGTAGACAGCGGGTCCAAAATTCGGCACTAGCCCGAACCAATCACTAAATGTGCCAGTGAGTGGAAAGCTAACGGCATGCGACACTGAGAAACCATATTCTTCTTCTGTTCTTACCTTCTATTATACACCAATGACAGCCAACACTGATAACTTACCTATAATTTGGCAAAATGCCCAGTGTCTGTCTTTGATTTACCACGGATGGTGAGAACTAGGATGATCGATGTCGACAGGACAAAACGCCACACGACAGCAAAGCTAGCCCGTTTCCGTTGTCGGCTAACAGCGTTAAATGAAGGACAAACTAGTTAAATCAAATTACAGCGAAACGCTGTAGTTGCCATTTTTCAATGGAAATGGCAAGTAATGTCAGGAAGCAAGAAAGCTAATGTGACGTTAGCAAGTTATAACCAAACCAGTGCACACGGCCCTGTTGTTACTTCCTACTCACACACACACACCTGCTGCTGCTCAGTCATGTGGAAAAGTGATAAAACACACATACAGGTTGGCACAAGTGTTACCAGTTATGGGCTTTCACTGTGGTTCGGAATACGCAGGACTTCTCATTCTGTAGTTTCGGACTGCTGATTTGTAAACAGTAGTGGGTCAGGCGGATGTGCTGAGGACCAGCTGACTGGTCACGTGACAGAGGAGCTGCGTACCCGGCGCTGCTGAGTTCCACATTTAACTACCTGCACACTGTCAATTGGGACGTAATCTGGTCTTATAACAATAGGTTTTTACTACAAACATTGTCAGACAATTATATTTTAAAATTATCCACTTAATTTATCTAGCTAATCAAATCTTAAAAAATACAGAAATGCCACATTTGATTCTTTTGTAATGCTAAAATAGAAACAATTATACATTTATTTTATGATTGTATTTATGTGAACTTTTTTTTTTGGACTGAAGATGAATATGTGCTTTATATGTTGGAATTAAAATACATTTACAACGAAAATATGTTTTTTAATGAAAACAATGTTATGGGAAAAGGTCATTTTTATTTTAAATCTTCTTATTTTGTATGGCAAGTTTTATATTCACAAATCCAAATGGTCTCAAGGAAAACCCAACATACAACAACTCAAGAATGAACGACTCTACTTTGAAGCACTACAAGGAAAAACTAATCAACAGGAATATGGACATTTATAACAGTGTAAGGCTCTTGCTGTAATTTAAAAGTATTGTACCCCTTATTTGTTCATTAGTTAAAATATTAAAATTGTATTTTGATACTGTTCCATTTCAATTAAAAAACTACCTGCATACTGTATTTGTCCAACAACTACCTACTATTTTCCCTGACCTTTGCTGAAAGAAGCATGTATGTTGGCTTTGGTTTTAGGGAAAATATGAATTTCTGTGATCATTACTAGAGCATGCTTTTACTGTACTTGAGTGTCAGATTATGATCCTGCTATTACTTAACTACATTTTATTTAGATACTGTACTTTTTACTCTACTACATTTCTTTGACAGTTAGTCACTATTTACTTATGACATCTTATCATAAAATATGACATTATAACATATAGGCTATTTTTTGATATTTTTATACTTCCACCTCATTTTAAATGAAGGACTGTAATGGAGTATTTTATGCTGCTTTTAGGTAATACAGTACGTCTATAGTAAATAGGTTACTTCTTCCCCTACTGCCATATAGCCTGTCTGTAATGAAAACACTACTGCAATTCTTTTACAGATCAAAATGAAATTATATTTCGTTGTCAGATTTAACCAACTATGGTGTAAATACCAGTTATTATAACAACTACTTTGTATTTAAAATGAGCAAAGAACTTGGTAATATTTCCAGTAATTCAGAGTATAGTCAGAGGTATAGTGATCAGCAGTGTTACAGGACGTACCACAAACCTGACTCACCTCTTTGCTTATTTTGTCCCATTTGAGCTTTGCTTATGGTAGCCCTACACTTGAATTCTCAGTGTTCTTCTGAGTCAGGTGTTCATCCCATCGGCCAGGGTTGGAAAACGATTCTGAGATCACTGAGTATCCAACTACCTCAGACTGAAAAGAGAGATACATTTCTTAGGAGAGTAAACAAATCATCAACAAATGCATGGATTTCAGCATTTTATTTGCACAGGCTACAAAAAAGAAAGATAGTTTTAAATAAAAAACAAACAATTAACTACAGTGTGGGATTGTGAAGAAATAAAAAAACTGAAAAAGAAAGGAAGTGTAGGGGCTTTACTGCAGCAGGGGGCCACACCACTAGGGAGAAATAAAACACTTCATGAATAAGCAAGAACACTGAGGGGGCTCTGCAACCTGAGGGTTAATTATAACAGTTTTATGGAGATTTAATTGCAGCCATTTCTGAGGTCAGACAAGTCAAGTTTATCTGTAGAGTGCTTTTAACAAACACCTTCATCACCAAGTGCTTCCCACGGACAAAAAACTAACTAAAGTGGCATGATGGAGAAAAGCAGCAGTCCATGTGAAACTATATACAGCTGGTGACACCGAATAGCATTAATGAGTCAAATGTGTGCACTGGTATTGTTGAGTGTTTGTGTGGTGGAAGGGTTAACACAAAGGAGTCATAATGACCACCATCACCATTATCATCATCACAGGCATGGCATTTCATTATCACCATTATTATAGATAATATTACTGATACGAGGCTTTCATGACTTCTTGTTGGCCCTGACTAAGGTATCGTCATGGAAACAGATGGCAGGAAAGAACATTGCTTTATTGAACTACCCTATAAAGCTCATCTGACCCAATGGGGCTTGAATGCTGCACAGTCTGTGCAGAGTATGGGAGCAGCAATGTGCCAAGGAGAGACAGATGAGAGTCAGAGAGGGAGAGAGAGAGAGAGACAGAAACATAGAAGTAGAGAGAAAAGAAGAGAGTAAGGAAGAAAACAGTGGCAGCACTGAGGGGCATGTGATTGTAGAGAGACACTGGTACAGAGAGCTGTTGTCTGATGCCTGGAAACAATGACACCAATCTACCAACATCAACACAGTCATATAAGAGGAAATCACCAGTACTGAGTCTAATATCGACTGTGGGCATCATAAACATTCATTAAATGCTTAATGGATCTCAGAGATACTGTAGCTTTCTCTCCTTCTTTCAATCTTTTTAGTGTGATGTCGTACAGTACTGTGCACAAGTCTTAGGTCACCATTACATTTGTTGTTTTAGCAATGTTCTGATGACTATATATATTTATTTATCAGAATACAATTAGAAAATATAGGAAATATGTACTTGGTATTAAAAAACAGAAATGTCAGAAAAAAATCCATAAATGAACTGAATATTCAAGCTGTTCTAAAGAAATATGAAGAATCTAGAGAGGTCAAGGACATAAACAGGAGTGGAAGACCAAGAAAAATATCAAAATCTGATGAGAAGTTTCTTCTTTGAGAGCCTAGAGGGCATCCAGTGAGGACCCAGCTCAGCATCTGGAAGCTTCATTTGTGTGCCAAGTTAATCCTTCCATTGTCCAAATAAGCTTGATCCTGATGAAGCCCGTGTGGCAGGAGAGCAGCCAAGATGCCAGGGGACTGGGAGAAGAGGCTGAGATATACAAAAGGTCACAGAGATTGGAGTGAAGATCAGTGTAAAGAGTATTATGAAGTGGTGAATCCAAGTTTGAAATGTTCAAGTCCAGTCGTTGACAGTATATGTGAGAAGAAGAGTTGGCAATAGGTGGAAGAATGAGAGTTTGCAGCCTCCAGTGAGATTTGGTGGAAGGTCTCTCATGGTTTTAAGACTTCAAGACCATCCCCAAAAAATTTCAAGCTGTGCTAAGTGCAAAGGGAGGTCACACTAAATACTGTAGAAGCCATTTTGTTCTGATTTTTTTTTAATACTGTGTATTTTCTGATTATATCTTAATAAAGAAACAGAGAAATACATATAAATCATCATAAACCTTTCTAAAACAGCAAAACTAATAGTGGCCTAAGACATTTGCACAGTATTATAAATCTCACAGACTGTCCACAAATCCAGTTCACATCCCAACTAAATACTGTGTGTAAATGTAAGTCTCATCTGGTGATATTATGCTACTCTAGAATAAAACAATTATCTTTTTAACTGTCACAAAGCTGTTCTCAGTGTGTGTGTGCTCCTGCAGATATCTGTCGTATGACATTTGAAACCTGTGTTTCCTGGTGAGAGACATGTCACAGTTTTACGAGTGAGAAAAGTTGAATGTATGCCAAACAAAATTATCAAAATTTATTCTTTAAGTTAAATGCTATCTGTGGTTGCTTACTCTCAAACCCATAAATCTTTATTAATCTTACTTTGATCAAAAATTTTCCACTGGAAGATCAGATAGAACAGGTTGACATACACAAACATACAATTAAGACAGAGTTAATGTTTACATTTATACATGATGTATGGTGTCACTCTTACAAGTCAACAATCTTATTTTAATCATGTCTCTGCATTGTCTGCCTTTGCTTTGCCTGATAATAAAAATCAAATACTTACAGAAGCTACAGAAATCTGCAAATTCATGCATCAGTAGATACTGTAGTAGTGTATTTAAACTGTGAAGTGTTCAGAAGCAAGCTGGCTCTTTATTAAACATAACCAGAGTTGATACTGTGAATACAGTTGAACAGGAACTTGATCAGTTTAGTAACTCATTGTTTTGTTTGCTGATCCATTTAACTGCACAGGATGTCATATATTATTCTTATTGTTTTCAAATGATAATTCTTGAAGCTCATGACATAGGCTACTGTATAATGTTATCATGGCATTAGTGCCTTACATGAATCCAATAACTGATTTGTTTCCCCAAATAAACATTTAGGTTAAAACAGAAACCAGAAACCTGATATTTAACAGTGTGACAACAACATAGGAAATAACAGAGAGATTCCCAAAGGAAACAGTTGAACTTTTCAATCTAAAACACAAAGCACCTCTAAAACATCATATAAACAAGATATTAATAATAGAAAAGCAAACAGGCAGCACCACTTTCTACAAGGCATTTCTGGCTTCAACATATCTTAAAATTTACATCAGTCAACCAGCTACAACTTTAATTTCACTGTAGTGGTTCCCATTAATCCAGACATACCGTATGTATATACACACAGAACCCGTTTACTAACATTATCTGTACATATAGTCACAGTAATTTTCTGTCTCAAGTGCATTAAGGACCCTCAAATCACTCCAAAGCCTTTAAGGACAAACGCCTGTATAAGATTTCCATGCCAAGACACTTTGTGTGTCACTACTTGTACAGTGTATAAAAGTGGCTGAGTTGCAAGTGGACCAGTGATGTGTTGTAAGTGCTGTATAGATGTGTTTGGGCTAAATGTAGTTCTCCGGCTCTTCCTTCATAGGGGGAACAGTTTGAATGCATGCATCTGATTCTTTTAAAACAGTGATCTCCCTTGCTTCATTTCTTCTGCTTTGCATCTCCCCCTCCTCTTTTTGTTCTGCATCTGTCTTTGCACCACTGTGCTCCTCCTTTTCCTCTGTAGTCATGTCAACCTCAAAGAAGTGTGGGTCTGTACAGTTGTGCTGGTTGACTTGTTTTGGGCTCTGGCTCTGGTGTTGATACTGGTCATCTTCTTGATTCTGTCCATAGTCCTGGCTGTTGAAGAAGCTGTGGATAATGTGTTTGGGCAGGCCGAGCTGAGCTGACAGGGTGTGGACAGCCTCTTCATCTGGGTTGAGACCCACATCATGGATGAAGCTCTGCAGGATTCCCAGTGTTTCATGGGACAATTTTAAGCCCTCACATTGCACCTGCTGTTCACCTTTTACATCATTATCAGCCTCAGAACAAACCCCAGCCCATACCTTATTTTTCATGCTAGGCCACATCACAGACAGTTTCTCCTTAACCCTGCCCTCTTTGCTGTCTCCAGTAATCACATTTCTGCCTTCCTCACACATATTTCCTTCCCTCACCTGCTCAGTGCTTCCTGTACTCTTATCCATCACACTTCCACTACAACCCCAGTCTCCTCCCACACTGCTCCTGTCCCCTCTTCCCCCCTCAACCCAGTCCTTACTGTCCCCTCTCTCACTGATGCTGCTACTCCTGCCCTGCAAACGTACTCTCAAGTGCCCAGATTTACCCCCAACCTCACACTCTGCTGGTGATGCAGTGCATGGTTGCCGTGGAGACAGGTGTAGTCCTGCCTCAGGCTGCAGCGGTTGATGGGGTTGAAGATGGTGTTGTTGTGGCAGTGGAGAGTTACGTTGGTACTGGTGAAAGAAAAAGAGAAATTAGAGGTAACTAAGGAAAAAGCTTTGGTCTCTTGGATTTGATGGATTTTATATTTTCAACACCAGCTACTTTTCATTGTGTTAATGTAGCTCTTAATATGTTTAATTTTAAAATGTATGAATAGAAGCTAAAGAAATGATGCAACTGCTTTATAATATGTTCTGCTTCTATTTGACCACATATTAAAGAAAACTTGCAGCAATTTTCAAGATCTAAATGGCAAATATTTAAATACGGTGTTGCTTTCATATATTGCCCAAGACTAAACACATTTGGCTTTTTGCATTGGCTGGTTATATTTTCCATCAAATTTGTAGTCATGTTTCTGATAAAAGCTCTCAATAATAATGTACAAATTAGAGGAAACTCTGCCCCTCATTTGGCCTCAGTATGACTAATTTACAGAAGAAACAGAATGATTCATATCCATATCCTTTTTCTTAATGGGATATGGTGCTTTTGAACCTCAGCAGTTATTGTATGGTGAATCTTCTGCATGACACAGTCTATGGGGTTTTCCCACACAGACCGGGTAGCACAATGAGCAAGGGCACAGGGCATGCTGATCTGTAAGAATTATGTGATTTATGTGATCTGGATCTGAAGCCCAGCCATCCAGGGCTCATGTCCACTGAGACGATCAAGGTCTGAACCATGTGAAGTTGTCTTGTCTTACTTTCACACACACAGAGAGATACACAATTTTTTTCACACATTACCTGTGCTGTAATTAAGCCATCAATCCATGCACAAGCAATAAAAGTAAAAAAATAATAACTAATCAGACTCACGGATCATTGCTTATTGTGGTAATCATCTTTATTTTCTAACATCTTTGGCATTTAGCTGTCATTACTGTGCTGCTTTTCTAATGCACATCCTAGAGCTCTTGGCATTCAACAAGAGGTATTTCTTTTAAATTTCTGGTAAGATGTCTTAAATAGATGTTTTAAAAGTGCTTTACAAAAAAGAAAGTGGGCTCACCTTAAGCCCAAGTGATACAGACAACTCTAAAATATGTTGACTCGATGTTCAAGAGTTGCTGCTCATGTGTTTTTTCCTCGTTATTACAAACTATAGCTGGTAACATGAAATCCGAAACAACCTCTGTATCTGAGGATTTTTTTTTTCTCGAGTTCAAGTTTAGAACAGCAGTCTGTGTGGGATAATTATCTTGTTTGGTGTCATCTCACCAGAGCATTATCACTGCTGATCAGTGTGAGCCTGTCAGTGCAGTGCTGCTGTGCACTTGTGCTGCTTTCCTGTTCATAGATGGCGTCTCGTTCGGTCTGGGACAGGCTGAGGAACCGCTGGATCATGCACAGGTTCTCCCACAAGGTTCGGTTCTCTGGACTGGGCTCCTCCTTCCAGCGCAGCAGCTCACACAGCCACCCCTACAGGACAGGAGGAACATACAGTATATGAAATATGACCACCTACCCACTACACTATGTAAGTCTCAGCAGATAAAGAAGCTTTCTTGGCCAAGAAACAATCTGTTCTTCACCCAGAACAGAGGTCAAAGCATGGCAGGTGTCCTTAAAAAGGTCCAAACAGCCAGTGAGCTCCCTCTGACCTGATCTGACAACTAAGGAAGGGAAGAGAATGCTGTTGAACTTCCTAATGTCCTGCCACAATTGGCTCCAATAAACATATCCATTAAACATACTAATCGAGTCAATAATTTAATGTAATTAGTTCCTAAATTTGCTTATAATTCTATATCATCAAGCTCATCTTCATACTGTATCTCAGACTAGCAATAATCTCTTGATTTTTCTACCTCCCTCCTGATCCCGCAGACAACTGATAAGTAAGCTAAACAAACCTGTTAACTGTATGCACTGAGAAAATTACAATCACAAGTTTCTCTGGCACTGAGTAAGTTGGCAAAAAGGAAAATGTAAAAATGATGCAATATTTTCAGGACAGTGAGTTTAATTATTGAGCACATTTATGGAGCATTTTCCTCTAAAATGTGATCGTTTGATCTCATCTATAGTGGCTAGAATAATGCTGGGACATCAAAAATGCCATAGCAACATGCTTTAAATTGATCATAATTTATTTATGATAATTAGTTTTGATTCACTTCACACTAGTGCACCTACTCTCCTAATTAGGATTGAAGTTGATATAAGCAGTGGCATCTACAGAACTGAGGTTCTGAATTCAGGAACAAAACAGAGTATGTATAAACTTAAAATTCACAATAATTTACTTTTCATGTTTATTCAAAATGTATTATAACACTTTTTGTGTATTTCTTGTTTACTAAACAAACAGAAACAGCAAGGATTAGATTTGAGTCTATCTATGTAAAATACTCTGATGGCAAAGCTGAATGATGTTGTGAGATTTTCTTATGAGCCAGAATTCTTTCTGCAACATGAGTTGAAGAAACTTGTGAGTGGCACATTGAGGAACATAAAGCCAAGTTAGTGTCAGATTCATGAACTGGAGCATGATCATGTTTGCAAGCAGGCTGGTAGACATGCGCAGATCTACACAAACACACCAGCATATGTGCACACACAAATACAAACTGCTGGCCGTAGCCCAACTCTAGCACACAATGCCATCCAGATGCACAGTGCAGATAGAACAGAAAGATCCAGCATGGCGTGGCTGCCAAACGAAGATGGGGAAAAAAAAAAAAAAAAGGGGGGGGGGGGGGGGGGGCTAGAGATAGAGAAAAAAGGTGAGATAAAGAGAAAGTGGTGAAAGGTGTAAAAATGGAGGCCGGTGAAGAGATAAAAAAGAACCTTAGGGGGATTGGACCATAGCCGCTGAATGACCTCTGAATATCTTGATGATGAGTAAAAAGAGAGGGATGTTACAGGGAGAAAGAAAGAAAGAAAGAAAGAAAGAAAGAAAGAAAGGAAGAAAGAAAGAAAGAAAGAAAGAAAGAAGAAAGAAAGAAGTGACAATTGGAAACATGCTTGAGAGAGAGACAAAATGAGACAATCCCCCATTCCATGAAGGGAAATTATCCTCAAAACAAAAGGCAATAACAAGCTTATGGGCCCACCATAAAAATGAGAACAATAAACACTCAAATCATGCTTGTGCATGTGTATTAGTGCATTTGTGTGCCATTTTGTGTTTCTGTGATTGTGTGTACTTGCATGCACTCATACAGTATTTCTATGTGCACAAATAAGTGTTGCGCATGTGTGTATGGCAACTATTAAAGCGAATAATTTGGGACACAATAGCAGTCTGATGTGCTGATGATAGTCCTCTGCAGAGTACAGCTGCTGCTTGATTATCTGGGCTTTCCTCCACACACACTAGCCATCCCTGCTGTAACTGTGGAAATGGATTCATTGTTGATGCAAAAGGAAGTTTGAACAATCAGGAAATGATTGGTGCATTATATGCATGTTTTTGAAAGTGGACATCTTCATCAGTACCTGACTCTTCGAGGCAGCCACCTTTGCAAACAAGGCCTGAGACACCTTGGCTCTCTTCATCTCGTGGTGGATCTCCTCATAGATAGAAGCGCTGACACTGAGAACACAGCTGTCTGTCCTCAACCCTCTGTCTGCTGTAACTGGGGACAATCTTGCCTAAAAGGAGATGTACACACTAGGGTAAACATCAATTAATAATCATGTGCTATATGTCCATTCCTTGAGTGAGAATCTAAAATAAAGTTTTCAGAAACAAGAAGCCAGTCAGTCACTGGATTTTGGGAAAAACCCAGCAGGGTAGCTATGGAAAATTACTAGAGCCATCTTTCGTGCACTGCTGTATTGGAAAAATAAAATACTGGTTGACCTGCGTGGATCTTGGCGGTGTGTTGTTGCAGCTTGTTGTGAATCCAGTCAGGCTTCTTTCTTTTTCCTCCTGGTAGATGCGCTCCCTCTCCGCCTCTGGGAGCTGCAAGAAGCTGTACATGGCACGCAAGTTGACCAGCAGAGACTGGGAGGCGTGTTTGGGGTCCTCCTCCTTACGCAGGATCTCTGACAGTAGGCCCTGGTACAGGCATGAACAACCACACACAAATCAGCATTATTATTGCTTTGTGTAAGCAAGCACAAACATGCATATGAACACAAAATAATATTTGTATTTGATGTCAAATTATTCACACATACTGCATATTGAGGCACACAGATAAACAATCTTTCAAATACTGAATGTCCATAGGATCAAATCAAATCAAATCTATTTATATAGCACTTTAAAAACAACATCCAGTTGAACAAAGTACTTTACATAGCAGAATAAAACCACAATAAATGACTAAAATAGAATAAATAAGATCAGTGCAAAAAATAAAACAGCACAATAACACAGACACACAGATGACACACATTCAATAAATTAAAATGAAAAGGAATGCATCAGGCCCTACTGGGTGTTAAAAGCCAAGGCAAATAAATATGTTTTAAGCAATGATTTAAAAGTAATGAGGTCAGGAGCTGATCTAACATTTAAAGGTAGACTATTCCACAATTTAGGGGCTGCAACAGTAAAAGCACCATCACCCCAGCGTTTATATCTGTATCTTGACACTTTGAACATCACACATGCAGCTGATATTAAAATAGATCTATATTAAAATATGTCTGTTTCTATTATCTTTATGTAAATATGGCAAATATATATTGTCTTATACACCCAAACAAAGTTTGCAGGAGCTCCTCATAGCCAGCTCTGGATCTCATTGGAACACAGCCCTTGTCAAATTTCTGCAGTTCCCCTGTAAAGCTACCATTATTCTGTATGTATCTGTCTACACAGGAAAGCCTTCAAACATCACATGCAGATTGTAAGGCTTCCTTCCTGAAAAGAGATCAGATCTCATGCTGGCATTGAGATGGCATGAGAAGAGACAGCCTTCTTATTCAAATCATGAATCATCTTCGAATCTACTCAGCAAACCCAGCCTTCCAAATAGATGGAGGCTTTACATGAATGGCCAAATGACAAATGCTTCCCTCACTTCTAGATGGCATCTTGGCATCATGCCCAAATGTATGGCTGGCGCTGGAGCACCTTGGACTTGGCAACGGGGAAACGTGGGGGTGGATAATAACTAGCGCTGCTTATTGAGATGAAAATGATAATAACGGTAATAATAATAATAACAATGGGCTTAGTGTGTCCTTTGAGCCCCATTTCTGTGGGCGTGTGGTGGTGAATGTAAGGTGATAGACACAGATAATGATGCATTTTAATGTTAGAGGTGATGGTAGAGGGAGATATGGATATGAAATGAGTTAGACCATGGATAGAACGGGAAAGAAGGGACTGACAATAAGAGGTTTGTACCTATTATTGAACAGAAAGGGGGTAAGCTGGAGAGACAGCAAGATGGAAGAGGAGGTAAAGAGGGAGACAACGTTTCTCAGAGCAGTTGTGATTAGTTGGCCCAGCAACTGGTTCAATGCTGGTGCCAGCTTTATGCTGCAGAGAGCTGGCACAAACACACACACACACACACATACATACACACATGCACAGGGGGAGGGGGCACTGCAGCAAAGGCCATGTCACTGTGCCAACCACCACTACCGCAACACCAGAAAACACTTCCAAAAGACAACCACCGAAAAACACTTGCAACCTATTGTAACAACTGATCCTTCCATACCTGTGTCCTGTTAAAGGCAACTCGGGCAAAGATGGCTTGGGAGATGCCAGCTCTCTTCAGTTCCTCCCTCACGCACTGGTAGATGTCACTTGGCACATCATATGGCCCCACAGACAGCCCACCCATCGTCTGGCTTTGCGGCCCAGCTGCAGGGCCTCCTCCTGGGCCACCTTGTGCCTGCTGCGGGGCTTGGGAATCAGGGGCTATGGAGAAGACCTTGGCAGGAGCCCTCCCTACAGGGGGGTGGTTGAGATACTGCTGTGGAGATGGTGAGAGACCCTGGCTAGCTAGCATGCGGCTAACAGCATACTGTTGGTTGAGAAACTGCGCCATCACCAGCTGCTGGTTGACCATTTGGGAGCTGAGTGGTTGGGTTACCAACCCAGGAGGGTGTAGACCGAGGGAGGAGTGACCATGTATGTTAGTTACTGCTCCACGAGGAAAAAGAAGGCTTGAGCTCTGTTCAGGGGGGTTAGTTGTGATTGGCTGCTGGGTGAGGGTGATATGTGTGGACTGGTCAGAAAAGCTGTCAGTTTCTGGTGAAGGGAAAGGAAAGCAAAGGCAGATGTTGAATTAGTGTGGCCAACATCTGTACTGCTTATGAATTCCGAGCAGGTTTTGAGTATCTGGTGTGTTCAAACTGGAAACCAGACAATACATATTGAATACTACATGGTTGATTTTTGAGCTCACCTTAAATTAAACTGTGATTTGTAAGACACCCCCAGAAACAAAACAAAAAGTATTAAATTTAATGACAGAAAGTTAGATTTTTCTTTGCACCCTTTAATTTGAAGTAACAGCCCAAAGTTGCAGTTTGATTGACTTCACATATTGTACATACTGTATCACTTTCTGTCAGGATAAAATGCTAGGTTTTTTTTTTTGTCTCACTGATAAACATCATGATCATTGCTATGTATAGACTTGGAACACACTGTAGGATGCATCATACACACATAAATCTTTACATACTTATTTGAAAAGTCTCACCCTTGAAGCATTTGGTCTTTTTGAAGTGTTTGTACCATCGACCGAACTCATGACACTTGGCAGCTGAGACATTTGCATAGTAAGTGCTATTTACAATAGATGATATCATACTCTGAAACAGAGGGGAAAAGACAATGGAAATTCATTACATTTTCCAAGCTCCTGCTATGGGAGGCCCGGGTGTCTCAGCTGTTCACACATCTGATATTAATGAACTCAAATCAGTGTTATTAAAAAGACCCCCAGGTAAATAAGATAATAAAGACAGATGAGCATGTCAGTGTGTGTGTATGTACAGCATGCGTATGCATGCATGCATGTATGTGTACGTGTGTGTATAATCAAACAAACCACTATAAACCATCAGAGACTGCACCTCTCTGTCTGTCTTTCTTACACACACTCACAGTTTTTCCCCTAAGACCATCTTGTGCAATCTCTACATCTGATTACACCTTTCATCTTCTCATGTTTATTTTAATCTGTTTCTTGCAAACAAGAGAGGGGATAAAGAGTGATAGGAGAGAGAGAGAGAGAGAGAGAGAGAGAGAGAGAGAGAGAGAAAGAGTGATGGGGGAGGAAACATGGGTAAGGGAGGACTGACTGAATTATATCTTAACACTGCAGAGAAGGAAGGAATCTGAAGAACACAGAGATAAGCTATTTCTTTTTATCAAACTCTAGATGTCCTAAGCACCCTCAGGCAAAATGACAGATAGGCTAAGTTGATGATTATAAATATTCATAAAGAGTCCTTCCCCAAATACTGCATGATTAATGTGAAATTATTATTTCTGCAGTTGTGTCTGTATTTGCTTACACACAGGAATAGCAGGAGATCTTAAATCCAGACATGTATGTTATTGCTGAATCAGTCAAAAGTGCAGAAAAAGCTCAAGAGTGAGAAGGATGAGTAGGACAGGGGGTGAGGCTGACAGATAGAGTGACAGGCAGACAGGCTGCCAACAGACAGCTGCCTAGGCATTGTGGCTTTTTAAGAGATACCTATCTCTCTTTATCTGTTCCTCTCTCCTGCGCTTTGCCCCACACCTTATCTACTGCTGCATCTGAACTTCATATCTAACTATTGGACCACATCCTTAATCTGTGGTATGCGTCAAAGTAGGTACACACGTGCTGTACACACACACGGGCATTGGCAGGGCATGGAAGGGCAAAAGACGTTACATGCGCACTTTGAACTCTGATTCAATTTCTTATCTTCTCACTACTTGTATGCTTATGTTTGTGTGTGTTATACCTGGGACAGTGGGCATTCCTTGGCCAGGGAGCTCTGGTTCATGTCCTTGAGGAGCTCCTTCAGCGCATTCCTCACTGTGGAGTGACTCCACTGCTCAGCTGGCAAGTCTTCCAATTTGGGACAGCTAGACAAAGAGCAAAGTACCAGCATTTTAATATATTACAATTTAAACATGCATTCTGCTGATTTATCGCACTTCTATAAAGGTGGGAAACTCACAATCTGCCTTTTTAGTGCCCACTTTGGTCCTATAATATAACTCAATGGCATCTTTCAATACACCATCAGGGGTATTTTATCTGACTAAAGCTTCTTTGTACAACCGTTTTTGCAGGCTCAGCAAAACTTCTTATGGTTTGGTTGCTTCTGGTATGGCACTGTCATACTGAGTATGCTGTACTGCCCCAACTCCTGTGGAGGCTCTGACCCAAGACCCTATTTGTAGCACAGTTAAAGGGCCTGAGTGAAAAAAAAACAGTGAGGAGATGATGATTATTTAAAAATGTAACAAGTAGAAATAATGTTTAATGTCATCTACCATTAAACTGCTCATCAATATTCATTACAAGAAGCTAGTAAAATTTAATTTAATGACATATAAATGGTAAAAAAAAAAAAACAAAACACTCCCCACTGGAGTCTCTCTACCAAGACTATCTACGGATTTTGTATGGGTCTGATTTAGTCCATATCCTTTTACTTTCTTTATTTAAATTAGGGGCAGTGGCTGGCTGGAGTTTTTTCCTGCATGCATTGTGTGAAAGGCTGAGAAATACTCAACCATTCTGGAACACAGTAAATCGTCCATACCTACAGATAATGTAATTACACCTACGTATAATATGGAGTCCATAAACTCCACATAGAGAGGACAAGTACTGTAATAGAACCTGACTGTGGTGCACTGTCTGCCCTCTACCTGTGCAGCTGAATCTTAAGGGTGATAACATGGTGAACATCCTGCAGCATGTCAGCCACTGTGGCGTCAGGAGCATCTGTTACACAGGAGAGAGGCACTGGGTTCCACCTGCCCACCTGGATCAGACCTGAACACACACAGTCAAAATTGAGACAAAACCTAAAGATGTACTTGTATTTTTGTCTCTTGCACATGTCGTCTACCTTTAGCCTGTGCGGCAGAGCTGTGTGAGTACCCCAGCGTCAGCAGGGCCATCTCTATCAGCTGGTTAAACAGCAAATCTCTCTTGACCAACACAAACTCAGCATGCTCTTCTCTCCTCTCTCCCTCCAAAGGGTTTTCCCTGTGCTCCACCACACAGAAGACCGGCAGCAGGCTTCCTGAGGTGATGAACACACATGATTTCATACAGAATGACATTTGTGAATGTAGGCATAGGTATAGTTGATCCACATACAAAGAAATCAGTAAGACTTTATTTTAGAGGTCCACTATTTCCTTTTTTAGGATTTCAGGAAAGAACCATGCAGATTTGCACTAATTACAGACAAATAAAGACAAGTACGTAAGACAAGTTCTGACACTGTTTTGTTAGTCCACTGAGTTTATGTATTCTTACCGTTGAGATTTCCATGAAATTAATTGCTCAATTTAAACCTCAGTTAATATTTACAATTAATTTATCACTGGAAATATTATTCTTCATTTACGCTGAATTGTGTGATTTTTTGCAGACAAAATTTCACACTGCATGTGTAGCACACCTTCTGTCCTCTGAATAAAAGCCTAAATTTTGTGCTAGCTTAGCATTTAGAAATAACTAGAAGTGTACCAACTGATGACTCTCTAATTTGACCTATAGTGACAAATTATATGGCTCATTCCAGGACATTTCTAAGGAAATGATCTTATCTCTAAAATAAAGTATTACCAAGAAATGAAGCCAAGACACATCAGATGACATCACTGTGCTAAAGACCCAGTAACATGCTACCATCTTTCAAGTAAGTGCAACTACTGTAGATCAACAAACCCCAATGGGCTTCTACTTTGCATAAATTCTCTGGGCCCTTCCCAATATCAGCTTATTACCTCTGCTGTGCCAGTTTTTGTCCTGTGGCCTCACTGTATTGGTTTTCTGGGCCAGGGATGGGTTTTTGGCCACAGGGCTCCCCTGCCTGCTCCTCTCCTGGGCCAAGGATCCCAGTCCGTTTTGTTCCAGTCGAGCCAGCTTGGCAGGAGGGGGCCGGGGGTCTACAATGGGATCACTGCCCTCAGGTTTCTTGGCTCCATTACACAGAGTGTCCATCTGTGGTCTCACACTGATATAAACACACAGACACTGAAAATCAAAGACTGTACAAGGCACCCTACGTTTCTTATAGTGACCCTTTGATGCTTTAACTTGTTATATTCCCACATAGTATTGCATGTATACTTTTGGATGATAACTGTTGTGCTTTGTAGAAATGTTTTCATCCTGGCAGAAATAGGCTCTAATTAAATAATAGCATACTAAGTATACTAAAAAGTATCTCTGGATACCTGGTGGGTATTAATAAGTGAGTGGGAACAAAAGCTGTACGCTACAGTTCTAACAACAAAATTAGAAAGTACAAAGCTGACACACGTACAAACACACCCACACCCACACTAGGATCTGAAGGATATCCTCTTCAGTATTTGGAAATGACCTTCAGACGCAACGATTAGGATAAGCATCTAAATCTAGTTAAAGTGCACTGAATGCTACAGCACAGTTTCCCACAATAAACCCGCTGTCGTATCCAGTCGCGCTGCTGCAAACGACACTGATTCAGTTCATCTCTTAAATCCGCGCTAATCGTCCCATGCACGTCGGATTGTGCTGAAGTTAAATCAACCACCAACCTGTCTCAGTCGGCACAACGTGCATCCCCGACTTGCCATCCTACATCAGCACGCCATTCTTCTATACTGTATCCATATGTTACCGTGGCTTCCATTGATCTCCAGCTGAGGAACAGACCAGCTTCTCTCGGCTGTCGGTATGTGTCTTAACTGTACGCTCGTATGCGCCCCTTTACATTAATAGTCTGTCAGGATCGACATGTTCTCCTGCTTAGTGTCTAAGTAGTTTTAGCCCAATCCCTCCTTATTCTCCGAACGTTTCTGTTTCGGTGTAAGGATAAATTGGCCTTAGTGCAAGTTCAGAGCGACCTCCCGTACAGAGCACCGGGACATGCTGCTCTATTCACGGCTTGGAGCTCCTGGAGTACGTTACCCATCATATATCAGGCTGCAGCCTTGACTCCGGGAGAGCAGTTGTTGGTTACACTTCAAAGCCCTATGCGCACGCTGAGGGAGCGAGTCAGAAACGTAGCGAGAGAGTCAGAGAGAGTCAGAGAGAGTCAGAGAGAGAGAGAGAGTGAGACCCCAATCCCTCTTACACACTCACGCGCACACACACAGACTCATAAATACAAGGAGCCAGCTGCATTAGCATATGGTGTAATAATGAATTCACTAGCGCGCTCCGTAAATGTATTAAATGTGACAATTGCGCATAAATCTATTTATTATTTTCTGCCGCGTGCTGTGCACGCACTTATTATTGTATTTAGGGTATTGGAGCTCTCCATGGTAACAAAGTGGAGCAGGACAAGGTGGAACTGGCTGACTGATATTAACTTTTTGTCACAGGATTATCCATAGCTTGCGTTCAGTATGTAGATAAGCAGTATTTTTCCTCCATGTCATATATATCTTACTACAGTAGTGCAGCTTGGTATAGACGCATGTAGTATCTATGTATAGGCTACAAAACACTGTAGTGGTCCAGCACTGTAACAATGCAGGTACTGTATGTAGCACAGTATATAGTTGTACAAAACCCTTTATATTATGATGTACTGTACTATAGGCTATACACAATATTAGAGTGGTAGAGCAGCACTTGCTGTTTACTATATATTGTACCATAACAAACTACAATATACTACATGACATATTATAGCATACTATACTTCAGAATACTGTCATAATAGTATTCTAATCATTTAACTGACATTGCTCAGTAAACCACAGCGTCAAATACCACAAAGTAGGATTGCCAAAAACACCCAGAGCTTTAAAATCACATGAAAGAAAAACAATTCATCACCGTACCTCAAAGTTTTGGCACAGCTGAATCAATTAGCACAGACAACAGCTCGTCTTCTGTCCTGTTTACAGAAAGTTGAAGTCGCAGTCAAGTATCAGCATACCATGTCACTGCAGATGAAATACATCTCACCTCTGGAGCTGTGATCTCCAAATCTCTGTGAAGGTGCCACACGGCAAAGGTGTGTGTGTGTGTCAGAGAAAGAGAGAGCAAGAGTCAGAGAGCCTCCACTCTGGCAGAGACGATTCAAAGACTTGCCCCATGAAATGTTACACCTGTGTGGTTACAGGCCAGTCTATTTTTTACAGACACATACAGTAGATGGGTGGATGTTGTGCAGTGGGAGCTGTGTTTGGGAAAAGAGAGCATGCTCTACTACTTTTGACTAATTAAACAAAGTGAATTAGCTATCTCCCCAGCCAAAGCGAGTCATGGCTGCTTACACATCATTCATCGTGACTAATTCAGAGAGAGAGAGATGTCACTCAGTTGGGTGGAAATGTGTATGTGTGTGCATGTGTGTGTCTGTTTGTATCATTCCACTTGCACCTCTGGATATGCTGCTGCGTAAGTTCAGTGTATGTGTGTGTGTGTGTGTGTGTGTGTGTGTGTGTGTGGGGGGGTATTTTACCCATTTTATTTGTGTGTGCATGTGACTTTAAGTGTTTATAAGCTCACATTTCTCTCTCTCTCTCCGTCACCCTATTTTATCACTGGCTTGATATGTCATCAATGAGGCTGACATGCTAGATGATAATTAAGACCATTACACGCTCACAGAGCATGCTACCAGTGCAGCACACAACTCCCTCATCTCGGGGGACACCCTTCTACTCACACAGTCGTGTATCTCTCCAAATTAGGTTAGATTTTCATTCCACCTCATTCGCCATGGATGTGATGTGGTTATTATAAACTCATGATATGGTTAATGAGTCTGCTGCTGTTTGATGGGTGGAGGCATTATGTTGGTGTGTTAAAGGGGAAACGGACTGCCAACACTGCACACCTCTGCTGTTCCCACTTATACTCCATGATCTGAGGTATGTTTGCAGATGCACACAGATGCTTATGATCTGATACATACTATGTAATGCAAAACAAACAGAGACATGTGCACCATACCACCTTAAACTAAATTATCTTTCACCTCAAAATATACACCTCTGAAGTGCCATAATCAAGTCAAAATTTTGAGACATTTGTAATCTACTTGGGTATTTCCATTTTATTCTCCTTAATACTGTCCTTCTACTGCACTACCTTTCATTGCATTTATCTGGCACGTATAGTTACAAAGTACTTTGCTGATTAAGATTTTACATTAAAAATATGAGAAATATATGGTTAATGTAGTGCTTTGCTAATGATTAAACCTATGGTTTCCAACCTTTTTGCCTTGTGACCTCAGGAAATTACAAACAAGTACTGTCTTTGTTGTGTTTCAGATGTCTGAGAGTTGTTAGCTGTTTGGCTTCAAAGTGATTTCTCCTTTAAGCTTAGATGGTTTCATGTAACTATCTGTTGAGGTTCAAAAGGTAAAAGAGAGACGTTCAACAGTGAATACAGATTTGTGCATCAAAACTTTGTTCTTCTCCTTTTTTAGTAATTCATCATTTCAGGATCCCTTAGTTTTATTGTATCTTCTGACCTTGTACTAAACCAATCTGTGTCATGCAATTTAAACCGGCTACAAAGCTACAATATGACAGTAGAATGCCACTTGTGCATTAACAAATAAACATTAACAACCTAATAATGTGATGCGCAATTACATATAATACATAAGTCATATGGCTTTTTTTCTGACGTACACTTTCTTATAAAATGTCTGTACTTTTACTATACTTTTAGTAGGATTTTGAGTCCAGGACATTGTATTGTGTTGGCGCTTGAGAATATGTGTTCTTCCACTACTGTTCTTGTCATAGCTGTAATCTGAAACACCCTAACCCATAAACCTCTCATTGCAGACACATTAGATATCCATACAATAAACTTACCACTTACATTGTGCCTGACCCAGCTTTAAGGCAACTGTCTCTCCTCAGGTTTCTCCTGAACTGGGGTGTGTTCAGGCTTCTTGGCATGCTAACATACCAGTACGAGTATCAGAGTATCAGATATTGGCTGAGAAAAACATACCCCCGGGTTAAGGTGGGCTGTCTATAGAAATCCTAAGTTGATTCAATGTATAGTCAGAAAGTCTCTGACAGAAGAGGTATATGTTTGCACTCAGAGAGCTCCAGATTTCAGATGAGACTGTGAGCTCAGGATCAGATGTGAGATGCTGCCCTCCTTACCCATTAGCTAGAAAGCCTTGTTCGGTGGGAAGTTACAGATAATACAGGACAAAAAATAGATGGTGGAAGGGTTAGAAGAAGGCATAGGGGCCTGACATGTCATGCTACATGCTGAGTGATGACTACAGTGTGTTTATATGTGAAAAGTGAACTTATAGCCGTATCTATAAACAGCCATGTCCACTTCCTGTGTAGCACCCAAGGGCATCATAAAATCCATTAAGTTAAATTTTTGGCATAGTGCTGCCTTTGCTTAAAGCATGGCTATGGGCAGGAGGTCAGATCTGAGTAGAGTTGAACTTGGACTGTGCATAATGAAATCAAAGAACACAGAGAGATGGAAGAGTGCAGCTGAAATTACAGGAGAGCAGAGCATCCCTCATCAGGAGCCACATTTATATAACGTGCAGATACAAACAAACATGATTAATCATTCTCTCATTATTAACTGTGGTCTACTGTTTAATGAAATTTATCAAGCATGAATGATGGTGCTTTCATATATATTTATTTTATATTTGAATACACATTGTGTGTAGTCAGAATTACTGCATGCACACCAGGTGATACTGAGGTTTTGTTCAGGGTTTTCATATAAGAGTTTATTATATGACTTGGCAGCTACAGATCAACTCTGTTTAGTGCACAAAGCTTAAATGGCCTTCGAGCCAGTGAGTTAAATAATTAAATGATGATTACATGAGTACTGACCATTAAATGCAGTGATGTAGATAAAAAGACTCATTTGAGGAGGTTTATTGAGAAGGTAACACCCTGAGCAATGATGATTCACTTTGAATCAATTGTCACTTCACTTAACAATGACACATACACACAAAATGTGTGTTTGCAGTTATGATCGGCCTTAAATGATGCATTAAGCATGTCCTTACTCAGGCGAAGCACCACTGTGCATTGGCTGTCTGTTTTTATTTTATTAGCTGATGTATTTATTGGAAGGATCTCTGTGTGTTCAGTTACTTCACACTGCCTCACTCCATAATTCACATTTCCATATCTTGTATATGCTTGTATGGGTGTGCGTATGGACATTTACATGTAAAGCTACTGAAGTGATTTGTGATTCACAGCTTTAGAGTACCTGACGAGACACAGTGAAGCTGTAGCAGCTGCTTTTACTTTTGTGAAAGATCTGAGTAGGAGGCATTACATCCTGTAGCACTGCTAGTAATGTGATTGACCTAGATTGGAGTCTAGTTGCATCTGCTATGTTTCACCTATGCGGAGCCACGTGTGAGTGTATATGTGTGAATGTAATCCTGGTTTGTTGCTGTTTGTCTATAAGTGTAACATGAGGGATGTGATGGGAAAAGTTTGGATGTAATCCCATTTATGGATTTATAGGAGGGAGTTTGGATTTGTAAATTTAAAGTTATAGTGATTATGGTTATGATTTTCTTGGGGCAAAATCTTGAAGTGTTTACTTGCAAAAAGCTATCCATCAGTTTGTTAGAATTTACAAAAGACACTGAACCCCCAGTTGCTCTTGATGATGTCACCGGTGTGTGAGTAGTGGGGACTGTGAATGGGTAAATGGCCAAATAGTGTGAAAGCCCTCTGAGTGTGCTGCAATGTGTAGAAAAGTGTTATACAAGTATAAAAGCATTTACTTTTTAAATATGAACAATATTCCTGACCGTTCTTTAACCCCGTGCTGCTCTGAAATCTCTGTATGTGGATTTGTGAATCTGAAGTGTGAGCAGTGTTTTGTCATCGTACTGTCCACAAGAGGACGCTCTTGTGTAACTGATAGGTCTGTTGAACTTGTGTGTGTGCGTGTGTGTGCATGTTTGCTGAATTTTGACTCCAGACTTTGCAGACTTGCAGCCATGCCTTCCACTTTCCATCGGGTGCCGCTAAACCCCGTGTAATGTCTTTGTTACTATTGTCCGCTGCGCGCTTGTTGACAGATTACTGTGTGCGCTTGGACAGAAAGAGAGAGAGAGAGGGAGAGAGAGAGAGAGAGAGCAGCGTGGACAGGTTTTGACTGTCAGGCTAAATGAGTCATGCATCTCCTGAAGCAGTTAATCTACAATCCGATCTAACAATTGTTTCACTGTTATTCATTTGTTTCTTTATTCGGGGTTGTGCAAGTTTGTCTTGCATAAATGTGTGTAAATGTTTTGGCCTGAGGTAAGAAATGCTATTTACTACCTCCCTGTCTCCCTCATACTCACATTTCCTACCTTTCTGTCTGTCATTCCTTCTCTTTTGCATAATGCCTGAACAAACAATCTAAGATTTTCACTTTTTTCACAGCACAGAAATCCCTGGTATTCTTTCATTAACCACCTACTGTTAAACATATTTTTGAATTATATAACAATTGTACAACATAGGAATCAGGGTCAAGTAAAGAAATCATATTATTTGTCATTTTCACAGATTTTAAAGTGATTTTGAGTTAGGCCTGTCATTTGACAGCTGTTTTTTTATTGTGTGAATGTGTCCATGTCTACTCCATTGGATACGGAGCCACTGGACAAAGATAGATCGTTGTTGCAGCTGTATTCATGACATGATAAGACAACGGGAGTTGATTCCTGCAAGAAGCAAGAGGGAAATGTAAATAATGTGCAAAAAGTCCCGTTTATGACTTGTGATGCCACTGTGTTCACACTGAGAAACGCGCTTTGACCACAGTTGCTGCTTAGAGTCATGGATGTCGCCCACCACCGTGCGCTGAGGAAAGATGATCATTGAATTCAACGGCATAATAATGGCATCGCTGACAGGAAGTCTCACTCTCTCACGGTCGTCCCTGGCTACTACCTGAACTGCAGCTGTGGGATTCATCTTCTCTTGTCATTGACGCACACAACACAAGCTCCAGACACACGGGCGCGCGCTTCACGTGCACTTTCCACTGACTAGGATGTGCTGAGGTGACCGGAGCGCTGGCGGTTCATATCGGTACAGCACCTTAAATGGGGGCACCTCACACGTTTGGACTTCTCTTCAGTAACTTTGATGGGGACTTCGACATTAAGCAGGGAAAATGCCTGTGATGAAAGGATTATTAGCACCGCAGAACACATTTCTGGACACTATAGCCACACGGTTTGATGGCACTCGTAAGTTTGTTTTTAATCGTTTTGGAAACGGTTGATTTCTTTAAATGGTAGCTAATATATTATGGTGGAAGTTTTCGGCTGGTTTGTACTGTCTGTTTTCTAAGGGCATTGACATAACACATTGCAGACTGTTTCCCAGTCTAACACCTGCAAAATCCAATCAAAAATACAGGGTTGTCAGTTCAGCA